GAAATGAACAAAGTGCTATTTTTTTTTTTTTTAATGTGTATTCTTGCTTTCTATGGTAAACTTTTAGTAATTATTTTGCTTGCTAGTTTAAAATTGGTCTCAGTCATTAGTATGAATTATTGAGGTCCTGCTGTGTATCACTAATGCACCATAGAGCTACTGCTCTTAGATTTATTTAAAAAAAAAAAAAGGAAAACACCAAAAAAAGCATGCAGAGAGACTATAGTAGCTCTGACAAGTCCAACGTCTCTCCTCTTGCTTTTATAAAAAGAGAGCAACGTTGCCACCATTGGTTAACAGTTTCAGTAAATGCACCCAAATAGATGAAATTGTGGTCACTAATTCCACTGTAACTATTTAATCTTTTTGTGCCAGAAGTCATATTTTTCTATTACTGTGTCCATTGCAGGCAATGGCTAGCTTAAAAGACACAAAGCTCTCCTCCACATTATTTTTATTACCAGGACAGGACATGAACGTGATGCTGAAGATGCTGATGCTGACAGGGGGCACAGGGAGCTGCGCAGCCTCTTTGTCCTGTGGCATGTTGCGTGTTCAGCACCAGCTGCTGGGAACGGGGCCCTTCAGTCTCTTTAGCTTGATTCATTCCCTGGAAGTACAAGGCTGGCCAGGTGGCCATACTGCAGCACGAACACTGTTTTTGTGCTTATTCTGGCTGTGTTAGACCCAACAAGACAGCTGACTTGCCTGTGGTTACACAGACCAGATTTATTCTGAAAATCATAGTTCCAGAATACCGAGAGCCTTCAAAGACACTGCACAGTCTGTCCTTTTTTTTTTTTCCCGCAAAGCACAAAACTAGTGAATCTCCTGTAAGTGAGCACTGCAGTGGTGGGGAGCTAATTGTATTGTGTATCACATTCCTGAATTTTTTAAATAATAATTAAAAAAAAGCAACAGCTATGGAACACTGATTTTAAGGAAAAATAAGTTTGTATTTCAGTGTCTAGATTGTTTATGCTTCTGATTAAATGTTAGAGATGTGCCAAACACCGCTGGTTGAAATATTTTCTGTTTAGTACGTCTCATCCAGAAACACACTGTTTGGAATTATCACTTAGCCCATACCAGTGCTGAGATGCAGGGGTGATGCAGATCCTTGGGGGCTGGTCACAGTATTGCTTTGCACAGGCTACTTTAGTGGAGCAGATTGCTTATGTGGAGCTCCTTGTAATAATTTAGCTGCTTGCTTTCAGCATCTTCTGTAGGCTTTTGGTAGTATCCTTTATTGCTGCCCTGTGGAGTTCAGTATAGACAGACACATACTTATGTGAAAAGCAAAACTAGCTCCAACTTGTGACTCCCTGAAAGTCATGGCAAGGGCTCAGTCCTGCAAATTTCTGTGTTCAAGAATAGTTTCATCGGGCTGACGAGTAGCTACTTGCATGCAAGGAATTACTTGCAGGAGTGAGCCCAGAGCTCCTGCCAGTGCAGCCTGCCTCCTGGAGAACTGCAAGTACTTGTATTTTTGGGCTGTTTTACAATTGGCAGCGTTGTGATTCTCAGTGTGCTGCAGAAATGAATTTGTTGCAATTTCCAGAGCTTATCCCAGGGCTTATTTATTTTTTTCCACTCTCCAAAAAGAAAGAAAAACCTGACGAGTGTCCTCAGGCTTGCTAACAAATTTAGCTGAACGGATGTTGCTTTGTGCTTCTGAAACGGGGCTGCCCAAGTTTATTAAACACCGACTGGTAGAGTTTGAGGCAGAGGGATAAAGATTCCTGCCATTCCCCTGCCCCTGCCCCCTGCTCTGCCTGCACTCCCTAATCTCTTCAGCTATGGAGAGAGTGGGGGACAGAGGGGCTGGATGTTCTGAGTTCCACACGGGGGGAATGGGGAACACTGCTAACTATTTTTAAAAGCATTTAAACATGCTCTGCCTATTTTAGTTCCATAGCATGGCATCAACTACTCCCTTTTTGGATATGTATGTAAGTTGTTTAGCTCTGTATTAATTTTGGCTTTTTCTCTGCAAGACGGAAAGAGGCGGATGCTCCATGTGCCTGAGCTAGAGGCAGTCTTGACAGTTTTCCAAATCAAATGTAGCTTTGCTGATAACAGGCGGTCTGATTATCCCTTGTAACCTTTGCTCTGTGTGGTTAACTGCCTCTGAAGTACAGTAGCAGGTTTTAGCAGGCTCCTGTCTGTACTTTTTTGCATTCGCAGTGTTACCTAAATAGTTGAAGAGCAAAACCGCAATACTGAAAAAGTAAGTTTTATCTATGTCTCCAAAAAGCACATGGGATTCATTTGGCTTTTTTTTTTTTTTTTTTTTTTTTCCCCTGTGTCCTGGATCTTGTTTCTGAGCGGTGCTAGAATATAATTGGCATAACCAGATTTCATTGCTGAAATTTCTTTTGGGCTTCTTTGAAAATAAATGCAAATTTTTTTTTTTTAAAGTATTAAAGTCTTGAGAAAATAAATGGAGTTTTTGAATGTCAAGAACTGTTAGTTGGGATTTCTTTCTTAAGCCAGTCCCTTAGAAGACATCTGACAAGCAGAAAGGCACTTTCACGGCTGCTGGGAATCTTGGGAACAAGTACAAAGTGCACGAGTGGAGCAAGAGTTAATAAGTGGGCTGTAAAGTGATGCCCTCCAACTCCACTGCCAGGTGCAATTAAAAGAATAGCTGCTGATGCCACGTGGAGAATTAATTGCATGTACGCAAAATGCACTTTTTTAGCCTTTGAAAAGAATGACAAAAAAAATGCTGACCTATTAGCTGGCAGTGGTTAAATATCTAGTGTTTAGGTCAATAAGGTAGGATTGCTAATAGATGTCTATCTCACTTTATTTGATTTCCAAGACTTTGGAACATAGACTTTGGAAGGTGCTTAGTTGTTTTTCAGCTTCATTTCTTTCAATCTGGAAGCACTGCAGCTTCTCAAATACATTGAGAGAAAAGTACTGGCTGCACAAGATGCAGCTGCCAGCAATAATATGGAGGGGGCAGGATCGCAATTAGGACCTGCCTGGAGCTGTTCATGGGCTTGCAGTGATGCATTTGTTTTGGAGCTTGTAGTTCAACTTTGGAGCTCTTCTTTGCTTCAAGAGGGAGAAGCGGTTCTGTTGTTAGTTATACACACAGGAAGATGTGTTTGGTTGTACTGTAAGCACTGCAGTTGAGTATGAATTCAACCATTTCCCAAAGCTATTTCTACCCCATCATGAAATGCAATTTGTCCTTGGTAGGAACATCCTCCCTTCGCATGCTAATATGTGAATTTTTAATTCAGTGGATAGGAGAAGCCTCAGGCCTATGGCGTGAGCTTTTAGAAGTGTCCTCCTTCACCCATGCTGTTCCCACACCACATTCTCCCAGAACAGCCCCTTTGTGTGCTGCAGAGGTGATGTGCTGTGGGAACGTCTGGCTGCAAGCAGCTGCACAAGGAGCCTGCACCCCAACCCCGTCTGTCCCACACCTACCTGAAGCCCTCACCACTGAAACTTGGGTTAGCTGTCACAGATAGCTTTTTTGGTAGGATGGGTAGGTTTTTTTTTTGTTTGCTTGTTTGTTTTTTTAGCATAACAACACAGCCTTTAAAATAGCGCTCACACCGAACTGCAATCCCCCACCTCACACACGCTGTTTCTCATTGCCGCCTTCACGTGCCCCCCAGCCTTTTCCTCACACCAGCCAGCGCGGCTAAGAATAGCGGCAGGGATGCTGTGGAGCAGGATGTGCAACCTGCTGAGTTTCCTGCGTTTGTGCTGCGCTGCTGGCCTGTGCTGAGCCCCTTCTGCTCTGCCCTCCCCTCTGGAGCCGCCGGATGGATCTGTAACCCGGATTCGGCTTTATTGATGGCTGTGATGCTGCCTTGTCACGCCGCTAGCTGAGGTGCGGTGCAAAAGCTCCCTCGGGCCCTGTCGCTGTCACACAGAGCAGAGCTCGGCGCTGCCCTCTGCTCCCTGTGAGGAGCTGCAGGCGCCATCAGGCCTCCCCTCAGCTCCTCTGCACTGGGCTGAGCAAACCCAGGCTTCTCAGCAGCTCCTCACACACCTTGCCCTCCAGACTCCTCACCATCTTCGTAGCCCTCCTTTGGACACTCTCTAATAGCTTTTTGTCTTACAGTGTGGCACCCAAACCAGATCCCAGTGCTGGAGGTGAGGCCTCACAGCACAGAGCGCAGAGAACAGCCCCTCGCCTCACCCCCTGGCAGTGCTGGGCCTGGGGCATCCCGTGGCATAGTTGGCCCTTTGGGCTGCCATGGCACACTGCTGGCTCATATTTAACTTGCCAGAAGACCCACATCCCTTTCTACAAGGCTCTCTCCAGTCTCTTGCCTCCTGGTCTATATATACAAAATGCGTGTTCTAAATACTCGTAGCAGTTGAGTTCCTGTGCTTTTATGCCATGCTACTTTGAAGGAATTTGCACTTCTTCTCACATTGAGGTTTGAAAATATTATTAAAAAAAAAAAAAAAAAAAAAAAAAAAAAGAAGGAAAGAAAAAAAAAGAAGGAATTGTGCTTGATGATTACAGGCACTATTAGCCAACTACTGCAGCCATGTTCGCAGTTTCTCTGCAAATCTCCCCGCACATCACAGGTGCGTGGCAGGGATTTCAAGTGGGCAAACTGTCGCAGACCAGGAGGTGTTTGGTCCATACGCTTCAGCTGGGAGGTGGGATGTCACTTGGCACTGTAATGTCCCAGTTTTCTTTTCTCAAGGATTAGGAAAAGTACAGAAACCAAATGCTGAGGCAGACTCTGTGGGCAGAGCCCTGTTAAGGCCTGCTTACGTCAAGCCAAGAGTGGGGCATTGCTGGCTGCAAGTGACAGCTCAGAGGGTGCCGAAGGCAGACGTATTGCTTAAAACCTCAATAACATTATCTGAAGGCTTTTGAAATTATGGCACCAATGGAGAAAAAACTGCATGTGCGGATTTTGCTTTTGGACTGCTTACCTTTTTTGTTTGTTTGTTTGCTTTTCCTGCAACTATTCAGTGAGAGTAGTAATGTTCTCTGTTTTCCCCCTCCAGCTCTGCAGTGTGTCTCAGCCTCCTGCTGTGAGACCTGAGAAGGCAGCCAGCATTGCCTTAGCTGTTACATCAGGAGAGGACAGCGCAGAGTACCGACCTCAGCTCCTGCTGTAGAAACAGAGTGGAAAAGCAGGTAACAGAATTATGGTTTCACACCTCAGTGTATGAAAAGCAGCCTCTATGAAAAGACTGGAAAACTCTGTGTCTTTGTACTGAAGTTTTCTTGCTTAAAACTCCGACAGAATGATATTTCTCCCAATCACTTGAGGTAAAGTAAAATGCACATTATGCAATGTGGAGTTCCCCTTTCGAAACAGCAGTTTGGGGACAAAGTCATCGGTCTGGGCTAGGACAGAATCGCTTACACAAGATAAACAAGGGCGGACTGCTGCCATCCTTCCCTTCCCCTTTATCTTTAAACCTTAACCTTAAATTACAAATCAGAGGTTGACACAGTGCTGTGCATCTGCAACTACTGAAGGCTGCTAAATTTTAATAGATCTTACTTCAGTGATGATGAAGGTTTGAAAGTTTCTCTAGCCCACAGATATGCTTCCAAGCTTTTAAAGTTCAAATGCAAATATTTTAACATATTACTAAGGACGTTTTCAAATTGAATAATTAGTTCTGTTTGCATGGTGTTTCATTATCAACAAAAAAATGATTTACTAGTTCTGTATCTTTGTTTCTAATCCAAGTAGATAAGTAGAAATAACTTCATTTTCAAAATCTTGTTAAATTTTTGTGGGCACAATGTTTCTTTAAACATCAACTGTAACAACAGTAGCTTTCGGTCAGGATACTGGAGCCACCTCAATAATACTGGCAACAAGTCACTCACAAGTGCTTCAGCAGCATGCAGAACAAGAGCACAGGGATCAGAGCAATGGAACAGGCTGGAATACCATTTTCCTTGGATTTCCAAGGAATAGATTTCTGCAGCTTTCATAGAAAAAAGATGACTGCTCCAAAGTGGCATTTTTGCTTGTACTTAGTATCCAGCAGAACAAACTCATCAAGGTGCTGATGACTTCAGACAAAGCAGATAATGTCCCAGGACTGGTTTATCCAGATGGGAAAAGTATTGTAGAGATCAGTGAATAGCATGATAGATGCATGTCTGGTTTTCAAGGAGAGCACCTCATCCAGGCCAGCTGTGTTGGAGGCCACGCGCTGGCAGCTGTGTCCATGGTGTTAGGTTTGGTTCTGAAGATTGGGTGAGCTTAATTACCAGAATCTTGAGCCTTTGTTAAGAAGGTTTTGTTTGTTGTTTATCTTTTTTTCTTCTTTTTCTAAGTGTGATTAATCTCAGAGTCACTCCTATTTAAGACGAAGAAAAACTTAAGATTCAGTGAAATTTCAGAGGCACTTCATTTGATAGATCCAAGCTGCTAATTGGATTATTAATAATTAATAATTATTAATAATTATTAATTATTATTATTATTATTATTATTAATTATTAATAATATAATAATTATTAATAATTAATATCAGTTAGATAGGACGGTAATGGTTATCATAGAGCTCCTTTGATTATGTTTTCCGTCTCCTGTCCATGTTTTCCGTCTCTGGGTCCTACAAACATGAGAACCTGCCCTGGTGCAGCACTGGGAGCTCCAACAGACATGAGAAGAGCTCTTTGCCCATAGCCCGCCTGTCAGTCTTGCCTCAGCTGTGCCCTTCATCCCCTGTAAGCTTCTCTGAGGCTGGGAAAAGTGAGCACCCACCTTTAGTTAACTGTCTCATTTATTTCCATAGGAGCTTCAGGTCTCTCAAGAGATTAACGTTTTTTGTAAGGTGAAACAGGAGATAGGAATGAGACTGGGCTTGTGGAAATCTGTAGAGGTAATATATTTTTTATAAAATAAAACTGTACCTCAAGGCAGAAAGACAGCTAGAATTACGTTGTGTCCTTCTTTAACAGAATAATACTATCTCCTTCTTTAGCAGCAATCAGGCTGGGGTGCAGAAGGAGGGTCTGTATGTGGTTGCTGTTTAGTTTTTTCCTTTTCCATTTTGCATAACTCCATAGAATGCTGGAAACAGACCTCTGCTGACTTTTGATTATTATGAAACAGAGCAGTCCTGGAAAGAAACTGGGGTCTGAAAACACATCAGGGCAATGGGCAAGTCAATAAATACAGTGTTGTTACCTGTCGCTGTGGCCTTCACAAGCTCACTACTTGAACTGTTGTATACAAGGGAGGGGCTGCCAGACTTTTCCAGTGGGAGCTTTCTGCATTGTGAGATGCTTTTACCTCTTGCATCTTGAGGCTGTTCAGCTAAAGCAAGCTTGGAGTGACATCAAGGTGGGTTACTGCATGGGTCTGTGGGGGGGGGTAGCAGTTTGTCTCAAGGATTTTCCTCATTTTGTACTCTGCAATGTCCAGAAGAGTCAAGAAAAAACTAAACACCAAAATGATGTGGTTTTAGTTTTTATTTGGCCAAAATGTTATTCTCTCGTGGGCTGTAGAGAGGAGATTTAAGCAACTGTCTCAGATAAAAATCACTGGAGCACAACTGAGGATTTCCACCACCTCTAAGGCAGTAAACGTATACCAATCACAAGCAGCCAGTGGTATTTTGGTTCATTTTAAGCAGGCCTAAGTAAGGACCACAGCAACTGCATAAACACTGAGCCCCATACAGTGTCTTGCCACCTGTTTGTGTGATTTCTTTAGCCCGTTCACTCACATATATATTCTATATATATATATATATGTATATATATATATATATATATATATATATATATATATATATTTTTGGAAGCTAAGGATGCTTGCAATGCTGAAAATGCTCTTGGTTTGGTTTTGAGCTCGGACAAAGTTCTTCCAAAATGCTTCTATGGTGGTAAAATTTCTGACTTCTTTATTTTTTACTTCAGCGTGGCAGGGAGTGAAATACAGTGGTAGGGATATATGTGGGTTTGGTAGCTTCCTTCCTGCCTCCATCTGTTTGCTTGTGTCAGGCTGCATGGGGATTGTCCAGGAAATCATAGAATCACAGAACAGTTTGAGTTGGAGGGGATCTCAAAGCCCACTCAGCCTCAGCCCCCAGCTGTGGGCAGGGCTGCCCCCCCGCTCAGCTGCCCAGGGCCCCATCCAACCTGGCCTTGAGCACTCCAGGGATGTGGCATTACAGCTTCTCTGGGCAGCTGTGCCATGGCCTCACTGCCATCTCAGTGAAAAACTTCCCGACATTTTATCTAAATCTCTCATCCTTTAGTTCAAAACTGTGCCCTCTTCTTCTATCACTATATTGCTGTTCTCTTGGAGGAAACAACAACAGCAACAAAAAAAACCTACAAATAAGCACAGCTGGATTTGTAGCAAGGGTGCATCTTCCATGGTGAAACTCGGAAGCACAGCCATGATCTAGGTCATCCAGAGCTGTGAACAAGTGGCCAGTTTGCTTTGTGTGCTTTCAGCTTCTAGTCCTTTTCCTAACATCAACACAAGAGCAGGAAAGAGAACCTGCCTCCAGATTTTGAAACTGTCAGTGCAAACACGTCACGAGCCTGTGGTGCTTTCACTGTTTTTATTTCTGTAAGATGCTTTCAGTTTCAGAAATGTTTTGTAAAAAACTTGCCTCCAAACTGCTTTTGGAAAGTTTGTTTCCCGTGTTATCCCTGACATTCCAAGTTCAAATTCTTTTGGTGTTTTGAGCAAAACAAAGCATTTTGACCCCAATAGCTTTTGCTGAAGACTTTCTGAGCTGCAAACAGGCAAGGAGATGTTACTGGCCCTGCATTCATGAGACCCCATCCAGGAATGAGAGAATGAACCCTACAAATGCAGTTCAATGGGAGAAATGAAATCTTGCAACTGAACTGGAGGATTATGCGTATTAGCACACAAATTGCTCTCTAAATGATAAACACTGAACCAAACAAACATCCAAAGCTCTAGGGGGGAATTATCAGTAAGGCCAGGCTGGTAAAATGCAATTTTTTTTTCCTGTAAAATACAAACGAAACAACATCTTGCTGAAAACACAACTTGTCCATGGCCACTGACTAGCCAGGCTAAGTAACAGCACTTCTTTCTGAAATAGGGGTGGCACATTATGCATCCTTTCCTTTAAATTAGAAAAATCAAGACCTTGAGGAACACCTAGCAGCTTTCTGAAAGCTGCTGCAGAAAAGCACAGAGGTGCTGACTCCCATCCTTGTCTCCTCTGCATATTCTCACACTCAATCTCCTGGGCTGCACAGCATCAGCGTGAAGGTTTGTGGCACACTGAATGGCAGCTGATCACTCAAGGAGTATCTATGCCACCGTACGATGCAGTTTTGCCAAATGAAACCACTGTTGTCACATGCATCTGGCTGAAATGCCTGAGTGGCTGCTGCTGGTGTTTTTCAGCAGTCCAACAGGAGGCCATGTGCTTTGAAACAAGGGTGGGAGCTGCTTTCCTCTTGGGCAGCCAGGAAGGCTCCAGCTCTGAGCACCTGAGGTCTGCCCATGGGGTTTGGGCTTGGGGCCATACGTTGTGTCACTTGTGGAAAGGGGATGAGGTGATCAGGAGCTGCTGAAAACCACACACCAGTGAATGTGGCCAAGCTGTCAATATCTCTTCTCAACTACTAAATATTCTTGGCTTTTAAACTATGAGGTGCTCTCCAAGAAGCGGATCCTGGAGGCCACAAAAGTGCCTCGTATCTGGCTGCATCAGGCACCAGCCCTGCCAAAATCTGTGCTGTTGAAAGAAATAGGAGGGGTGCCTTGTTTGTTGCTCTCTGCCACCAGCTCTGTTGCTCCATCCTGCAGTAGGCAGGGCACCAGCCAAAAGCCTTGCCTGGCCTCATGTAGGTGTCCTGGGTGTTGCAGACATGGCAATATGTGAGCTGATGGATGTGGGGTACATCTGACCCTGTGAGAATAGCAGAAATACCCCACTCAAAATTATGGAACCAATGGGTGTTTTGTGTTGGAAAGGATCTTTCAAGGCACCATCCGGTCTGAGTCCCCAGCCATGAGCAAGGCTGCCCTCCCCCCCCATTTCAGGCTGCCCAGGGCTTCATCCAACTTGGCCTTGAGCACCTCCAGAGATGTGGCACCACAGCTTCTCTGGGCAGCTGTGCCAGGGTCTCAATGCCCTCTGAGTAAAGAGTTTATTTCTTATACC